ATAATTATAACGTCATTGCGTGTATACACATAAATTTGCCTACCTTGCACCACTCTCTTTTTCCCCCTCTAAAAAGGGAACTCGCCAGAATTTACCTGCCTTTCTACTGGCATTTGCCTTTCTTCTGCGTTTACCTCAGCGTCAGTTTTTTTTTAGTATTATTATTATTATTATTATTTCTCGTTGTCCCCTACAACCTTCACTGCTTCATTCCTTCAACGCACGCGTGCGTTGAAGGACGCGGATGCACTGAGTTCCAGCCTCGACGCGTGGACCTTCAGTTCTGCTTCAACCAAGCCGGGTTTCGTGGCTGTACAGACACCTCCGCCCCGTCCCCCCTGTCGTTGCGTTGCTCTGCGGCAGCAGTGAAGCGCAAACAGGCGGGCAAGACGCGACCCTGCAGCAACCACAGAAGACAGAAATAGACACCATCTCCGCCTCGCTCTCTTGCGGTGACGTCTGCCCACCCCCGGCACCGGAGCCGGCACTCCCCCTCACAACTCGCAGCGCCTCCCCTCCCCCTGTTTTATGCTGAGATGTGTTGCAGTCTCCCCTGAGTCCTCCGGCCCTTTTATTTTTTCCTGCTCCTCATCGAGACCCTCACCCTTCATGCACATCAGTTGCTTCGCTCAAGTTTGTAACTTCTCTCTGTTCCTCTCTGCCGAACCACAGTCCCCATCGGCACGTCAGCGTACATATAAGCACGTGTGGATAAAGGTACGGATTTCTATGTACATGTTGCCAATCTCGCACCCACGTGCTACACAGACGACCGCCCCATTCACATAAACACGCATACACCTGAAAAAAAAACGAAGATAAGGCACACAAAACACCTCCATTGAAGATTACCTTATGGGCCGAATATATGTCGTTTTCTTTTCCTCTCCTTTCACTTCTCTGCCCCACTGACATGTGTGCAAAGAATCAAGTGTGGTCTCACTCGCTGGGCACACACGTGGACATCGGGCAAAATATATATATCTCGTACATCGAGCGGAAACTGAGAATAACGGGGGAGGGGGAACCCAGGAAGAAATATATGTACGAAATAAAGAAGAAAGAAAAACAGTGTTTCTGTTGTCTTTTTTTTTCCATTTGGTTCCTTTGCTCCGCTGATGCGACCTTCTTCGCCCGCGCCCCCTCCTCCTTCCCTCCTTTCTGTTTGCTTTTGTTCCTTCTCCCCATTAATTATGACTGACGGTGTTCTCTCCGTCCCACTAGACGCCGACACTACCAATTTGCGGTTGTCGCTCTCACTCTTCGCATACGTTTGTTTGCTGCCTTCGGTCTCTCTCAGCTACGCCGCGGAGGCCTTCGTCCCTCCGTTCCCTCCCTTGTCTCGCACCGCGCGGTCGGCAAGTCAGGCGGCGCCCGTTGGAAAAATTGCGGCGCAAGCCCCTCCCCAGAGACACGCAGTTGCGCGCCCGCGCGGTGCGAGACAAGGGAGGGAACGGAGGGGAGGAGGAGAGCGGCAATAGGAGTGGACAGTAAAAACAGACGTCGTGGCAAACTAAAATAAATAGCACAGTCGCGCTCATTTCATCACCTGCAGGCGGTGCAAGTGCAGCAGGACGACGATGACACAAATAGGGAGAGAGAGACGCAAAAAAAAAAGACAAATTGCTGCATATTCTCTCTCACCCTCACATTCTCCCTCATACACATGGACTAATTCCAGATATATAAAAAAACACGTTGACATACATCGGCATAACAGATAGGGAATAAAACGATGAGGAGAAAAAAAAATTTCTTCATGGGTCCACTGTAACAAAAGGCAACAATTCGGACTACACGCCATGCACCCAGGCGTAACCTCCGTTCATTGCATTGTCGAATTGCCAGGGGGCTTTTGCACAAAGCTCCGCCGTGGGCCCACCACTAGTAATACCACTGCCCGCATTTCTTCCTCCTCCGGGGCCACCGCCACCGTCAGCAACTGAGCTTAGAGGAACAGTAGAAACTGTGCTACCGATTCCAGCAGGAACAAAGGTGTACGAAACTTTTTGAGGCGCTCCGCCCCCGGTTGCAGAATTTGGCTGAGGCACTGGAGGCGCATTCGTCTGCATCACCGCCTGTACAGCGCGTTGCTGCTGAGAGCCCAAAGTTTTGATGACACCCAAAAAGGAACTGTCGTAAACAGGTAGAATTGGTGCAGCTTCGCTCGCACCACGCGGTAAAAATAGTAACGTTCCCATCGCATAAGGTTCCTCAAGCAGCGGCGACGGGGCGATTGAAAAAGTATGTGTTGAAGACATTCGCTGAGCGAGAAGCGAAAGTACGGGAGAAAGTACACCAGTAAGTTGCTCCTGAGTCAATGTCGCGTTGTTGGTGGCATTGATATTCCCCTCAGACGGCTGTTGCGGTCCTGTTGTTCCATTCAATGGCTGCGCATTAGACGGAATTAAACCGTAATTGCTGGAGTAGCCTTGAGCCTGCAACATTTGCAAAATCCCTTGTAGATTGCCTTCTGTTTGCTCGCAATGGAGTGCTGAGGCCTGAGACGGCTGATGAGCGTTAGTAGCCAGAGGAGCCATGATGCCAGTCACACCCACCACACCTGTCGGTAAACCGTTCTCTTGGCATGGCATGGGTGACGCCGGGGCAAAAGCTGCGCCATTGTGATGGCTGTGCAAAAAAGGGATCGGACCTAGCCCAGTTGGGACAAAGTGTGGAGCAGCTGCTACATGGGGCGTCCAGTTTAAATGTTTCATCGGCACACCACCATGACTGTCCGCCGCGTGACCGCTGACGTTGCTGGTATTGTTGTAGCTGTTCTCTCTGTTAGTATTTTGGTTCGTGTTAGCCTTCTGGTGAGTCGTGTTCAGTAGGGAATTCGCTGCCGTTCCTCGGGTCTCTGTGGCGGCCTTTGGCGCCCGCTTAAATGACCCCTGACAATTTGGATCAACGTAAATGACGTGGACAAAATTGCAGCTCTCCGCGGCATAGCACGTCTGCTTCGCATCATAATACTTGCAACGGATCAACGGTTCTGCATTCTCTTGATGCGCAAGAGCCCCACGTGTCAAGAGAATACGTTCACTGGGGAAAGTCTCCACCGTGCACATGTCACTGGAGAGGACTTCCAAGCGTTCACCTGGCGGCAAACGTGTGTACGTGCACAGCTTCTCATCTTGCCAAATGTAGTTGACGTGAATTGGGAACGCCTCTAGTGTCCCGACATCCACGTCGGCGTGCACAAACTTGCAGTTGTTGCCCATTTTACACGAGTCCGCTTCAAAAGGCCGATAGTTGCGGCAAAAGACTAGCCGGGTGATATTAAGTCTTGCGGAAGGCACGTGCACAACCAAATGCGAGGGCACCTCGTAAAAGTACTTGAACTCCGCGTCATAGACCCCCGTTACATCCGCCATCGTCGCGGGGCCGTGTTGGGGTTGTCTGCGACTTGAGGGAAGGTTCCTGTCCGACAACATCTCGTTGCTCTGGTTCCACTGACCCCATATTTCGTCAATGGCAAGCATTGAAAATTCTGGGATATCCATTTCATCCAGGCTCATGTTTCCACCCACCCCCCACCTCCCCGGTCTCTTGCCCTCGCGCTTCCTCTTTCTGAGTCACTCCCTGCTGCCGCAACGTTGGCGGCAATCCACACCCACGTAGGGTCCCCTGCACCTTTATGCCCTGCTCTTCGTAACGCTGAGTTCTTCTCAAGACGGCAGTGCCGCGTCTTCGCCCGCCACTACCCTTCTGTGGGCACAAGGCGTGTAATATATA